TACTTTATGTAAAATCTCAATTAAATATTCAATAAAGATAGAGGCATGGCCTCACTATTAATATTAAAAAAAAAAATGAATATACAACTGATTACATATGTTTACTTTTTTATATTATCTATTTAAGATGTCCATTCTAAGGTTTCTTACTAGTTGCTGTACTTAACATATCTGCTTAAATGTTTATTTAAACTTTCTGATCTGACCTTAGTATTAATTTCACCAGATCACAAACTCAGATCTATTTACTTTTAACTATAGAACTATATTTCTTAGACTATTTTTATTCTCAAGGCAAACCTACCAGAGCAAGCTGTATTCTTTTTTACTGTTAACCTGGTTTGATGCTATGGTTAAGACTAATACTTGCAGTTAAGATTATTTATTAAACTGCTATTAACCTTGTAAAGTTTACCCAAACTCTGGTACTTATCTTTTTAACTTTTTTATCATTATCTTCTACTAGTCACAACTCAAAACCAACTAACTTTTCAGACTTCCAATTCAGATAGCCCAGTATAGTATACTTATATATTCTTTTTCTTTAGTGATTTTTGTTGCCTGGTTAGTCATATACTCCTCTACACATCTTGTCATCTGGTTTATCTAACAGTTTCTATAAAGATGTTTCATGAACTTCTATTGGTCCAATAGAATTATTAAAAGTATGTACTATTACTTTACTCAAGATTTCAAAATGAGTTTCTGTCTTCTTGGTTTTTTAGCCTTCTATGCTTAGTGGTTTTATCATGAGTTTGTACCAAAGCCTTATATAACATCAGTTTTTCACATTCCTCTATGTATATGTAATGTTACATTTTGCATAAATGTTCTGAGCTTCTAATGTTAGATAGAATCTAACTTAATATACCTAAGATTACAAATGCCTAAAACCTAACTGATCAGCAAAAAACAATTACTATAATACAGATATTATTAGCAAAAATTATAGACTAATATATATCAATTATTATCTATATGATTATATATTAATAATAATCCTTCTGTTGGATTATATTAATTAAGATAAAGATCAATATATAGTTATTATAACAGAAAATTACTATTAATCAATTATATAAAAAACCTGATATATATTAATATTTATCAAATAAATTTTATACTACTAATTTATAGCAATAAAACAAAAACAATGCTATTTTTAAAAATGCTTAAAGTAATAACTGGTTTTATTAAAATATAACCTTTATTATATACATATATTCGATATTAAAACTGATGTATTAATATTAAAAAAAACACAATACAAAAACAAAAAACAATATAAAGAAAAAAATAAAAAATAATGCAATTTAAAAAAAAAACATAATACAAAGAAAAAAATTACAAAAAAAACTATTGCTAATACTTGATTCTAAACAATTTATCCATCTTTTCTTGTGATATTGATGAACTTTTTCAAAAATAAGTTTCAGGATCAGAATCTTGAGTCAAGGTTTCTTTTGATTGTTCATTACTTTCAGCTTTACCATTTAATATATTTTGTACAAACGCATATGATAGGCTACTGCTTTTGAAATCTCTTTATGCAAATATATCAAATGTTAATACTATTACCTTTAAAAACAAAATATACAATTACTTACCAAATATTGTTCAATTCTATGTCTTATATGTAATTCCTTACACAAAATGCTTTGTGAGCAAGGGTTAAGAAGAATGTCACAAACTGCAAGCATAAATGCACAATGTTCACTAGTCATAAAGGAGACTGCTGCCATAGTAAAAGCTGTTCTTGTGATAAGAGACATCCAAAAAATGCCTTCATCATTTTTTTGAAAAAGTGTATAATAGCAAATGCTTACTTCTGAACATTCCTTCCATCTTACAATATTGGCTGCAGCTGCATTACTTCTTAACTATGACAACCTCTTAACTCCAAAAACACTTCAAATTGCTGATCTAATGCTCTGAAGAGTAGTGCTATAGGTGTTTTTGATTTTTTTTAGGAGCTATATAATGTAAATTATAAGTATTTGGAAAATTGAAACCAAAAACTATCATAAACAATATATAATAAAAAATTATTACCTAACACAAAATAATATAAATTGAAAAGGTTAAAAAACAATTATTAACAATTATAAGAAATAGATATAATAAAAAAAGAAATATTATCAGACTTAAGCATTGATCATGAAAACAGTTTGTAAATTTGTTGCTGCTTAGATTAGATATAAAATTTGAGAATCTTTCTTCTAGGTAGCCCTTCAATGTTTCTTTGATTAGGGTTTGAATAGGATACATATGATACAAGAAGAGACATTTAGCAATACTAGTAAAAATTTCCTAAAAAAAGCAAAAGATTTTAAAGTAAGTTTCATTAAAATACAAAAAAATTTCTTCAAACATTTACTATTATCAAACTGCATAAAATACTAACTTTCAGAACCTTCAAAGAAGGTTTATTTTCTATATCACTTTGCTAGCATTTTAATTCTGCCTTAACCTCTCTTATATCTTTACTGTACCTTTTTACTAAGACATACAGTTGCTGGTGTTAAGTGAAAAGTTACTCATCTACTTGCCAGCAATAATGGCAAGCATGATCTTTAAGAGCAACAAGCCCCTCCAAAAAAAAGTAAATAAAAAAGTAAAAAAAAAAAATAAAAAAAACACTATTTTTAGTTACACGAAAAAAGGCATTTATATAGCTTTAATCATTAATTAATATTAATTAACTTGATTATGCTGATTAGAAGAAAATCATTTTTCTGTCGATCTTCTCTGTGATTGTGAATATGAGCATGGTTGTAGTGAAGATAATAAATGATTTCTATTATCAGGTGAAGAATATAGTTCATATTATAGAGAATATAATTCATGTTATAAGTGAGATGGTTAAGAAAGTTGTATTAAAAGATGATAAGTTTGATATCATGCTTATGTTGATCAGAATTTCTATTCATAGTTGCAAAGGTTTTTGGATATTTATAATACTTAAAGCAGCTGAATTCGATGAATCATAATCATCATTTTGAGTTAAATAAGGTGGTAGTATAGAGAAGCAATATTAGATAGAATCAGTTGTTGATAAGAAGAAGCAATATTAATCATTTGAAGTTGTTGATAAGAAGGTGAAGTCAGTTGTTGATAAGATGAAGATGAAGTCAGTTGTTGATGAGAAGAAGATAGAATCAGTTGTTGATAAGAAGAAGGTAGAGTCAGTTGTTGATGAGAAGGTGGAGTTGGTTATTGATAAGAAGAAGATGGAGTTAGTTGTTAATAAGAAGAAGGTGGAGTTAGTTGTTAATAAGAAGGTGGAGTTAGTTGTTGATAAGAAGAAGATGGAGTCAGTTGTTAATGAGAAGAAGATGAAGTCAGTTGTTGATGAGAAGAAGTATTAGTTGAAGACATTAATTAAAGGTGTGTTGGAAAGAAGCGATATTAGTTGTATTAGCATCTATTTTAAAAGTTTTCAAAAGTGAAATAAAATTTTTTATCTTTTAAATGATAAAATCTTTTATTTATACTTTTATTTATATTTTGGTAAAACTTTTACAAGCAGAAAATATAAGTTAAAACCTAATGATGAAAAACAAAATATAAAGAATGACAATAATAAATACTTATCTTGTTTTGTCATTATATTTGTAATGCTTATAATGACAATTTGCTGAGATTTATTATTATATTGCATCTGATAATTTATTATACACATATTATATAGATTTTGCTAAGATTTATTACAAAATTAAAATTAATAATTGATAATATAAAGCATAATATTATATTATATAAATAATTATTGTATTGATAAAATAAGCAAAGAAATATCCAATAATATATATCAATACTAATCTATATATTTTGCTTTATAACATTTTTTACATTATTTCTTTTTTATTTTTAGGTACTCTTTATATAAAATCCATATTCTAGTTTTATATTTAATATATATATTCTATTCTATCTTTTATATTTAACATATATCTGATTCTATCTTTTTAATTATATTTTCTTATTCTTTTTTGATTTTTTTTTTGAGAATTTTAATTTTATTGCACCTGCAATATATTGCACCCCTAAATCACATGATATTTTTTATATTACTGTAGTCTAAAATTTTATTTATATTAAATTATATAAATTTTTAAAAATCACTTTTCACATATTGATCCACATATTGCATAAATTGCATTTTTGATATCTATATATAAAACCCACCTAACTAATAATTCAAACCTTAACCCTAACTCTATCTAAAAGATAATAAAAAAAAAGGTTCGCTAACACTAAAGCATGTAAAGAATGCTAAAAAGGCAATTTTACATATAATAACCAACTTTGCTCTACATAACATACGTATCACATTTACTAATTTCTGTTCCACTTTTTTGCAATTTTGATTGGCTGTACTATGTAAACAACATGTAATGTAACATGATCAGGATAATTCAAAACAAACGTTCGCTTTGTCGAAAAATGTCTATAACTCTAATCCCAACCTTAGCATAGACCCTAACTCTAATTTAAACGAACTTTTAAGAATTTTAATATCAAAATTTTTTTGGAGTAATTCATAGTACAGCCAATCAAAATCACAGAAAAGTGAGCCAGAAATTAGTAAATGCTACATATATGAGTTTACCTGCTTTAGCAATCTTTCTTTTCAAAGAATATTTAGTAGGTGCATGTATGCATACATACAAATAATAAACTTATCTGCTATGCAATGAATTTGAATTATGCTAATGCTAAATATATATACCACTCCTAAACTAATTCCATCTATGAACAGAACTAAAGCTGCTAATCCTCAACTTTTTTAGAGCATGTTGCAATATTGTGACCCACCCCCTTGCAGTAGCTACATTGATTCTGCTTTCTCTTTTCATTAAGTGATGATTCATTTGTTGAATATTAACTTTGTTGATTATTACGGTGGCTAGATAGTTTTGGTTACCCTCTAGTAATGACCTTTCTTGGATTTCTAAGTTTGATATTTGGAAGTGTATTCTCTTTATCTGAATTCTCGTCTTCTGAGCTATCTACTTGTTGACTTCTAATTTCTTTTTTCTATATACTAGCTAAATATGTTTTAACTATTTTGACAAACTCATGATCCTGATGTAAAAGGCATTTATTTATTGTGGTATGAACCAAGCCCCATATTTCTCTGTAAAACAGCTATTCATTTATAAAGCCTGTGTCCTGGGTAGATTGCTCATTATCATTATTATTATTTAATGGCTGGAGCTATTTAAAATGCTGATTATAATTTAGTTCTTAATCTTCATCAGAAGCTACAATGTCATTCACAAATCATTGTCCATAATAATCAGGTTCTGTTATTACATCATTTTGATACATTTTAGGGATCCATCGCATATTAATAAGCTGCATGTTAAATTGTGCTGCCTTTGTAATGTTTAGAAGGTGAAAATAATGTCTACAAACCAGTCCTCACTTCTGTTGTAACAAACAAGTACAACTATATGATCCGTCTGTAAGACAAAAAACTACATGATTGATATTTTGCCTTGTAACTCTAGAAACTTTCTACACTTCTTTAATCTTAGAACAATCCAATTGCTGAAGAAGAAATTGAGCACATAAAAATACACAATCTGGTTCGTTTTCAAAATTATCACTCTCAGATGGCTTATTCATGAACATGTTTTGAATTTCCTCAATATTAGAATGAAATGAAATATAAAATACACTCTCTTTCATTTGACCAACCAAAAATTGTACTATATTTGGACGCAAGTAACGACTGATAAGTGATTCAATTTTTGGAAAAATTGTTATGGTATTAACTGTAAAAGGGACATCTTTAGTTATTTCTTTATAGTGCTTCTGTCTTATATTATCTTCAACACTGTTTATTAGAACTTTTCCAAGTTCATAAAGAGATGTGTTGCTACTTTCAATGATGTGTTTAAGGCATGCATTTTGACTTTCTACAAAGGATGTAGATTCGATACCAAGCGTAAACAATGTAGTTGTAAATCTACGGGCCCACGATTTACGCCTATTATACAAATGGTTCTGAAGGTATGTGCATGCAGTTGGGTAATTGTTTGTCATTTCCTCCCAATAATGGTAAAAAACATCAGGTGTATCAGCATTATGACATTTCCAAAAAGAAGAATAAAAATTATTAAAAGATCCACTAAGCTTTCCACGAAGCGTTTTTTTAATGTTTTCTTTCAGATGCCAAATACAAAGAATATGATGGGTCATAGGGTATTCAGTCACTATCGCACTTTCTATAGCAAGATCTCCATTAGTAACAAATACATTGGGAACCTGTCCTTGCGTTGCTTTTTTTGTCATATGTAAGACCCATTGGTATGATTCTGTTGTTTTATCACTAAGTAAAGCCTGGGCCACTGCTCTTGATTTCATATTATTGTCAATAATTACAAAGAGCGACAGCAGCATATAGTATTGATTCATTCCAGCAGTATTATCATGACCAACTGCATCACCAAACTCATGTCACATAATAATTTGCTCTGGACTCATCCAGAATATTCCAGTGAGAGTATTGGTCTCCAATTCCCATGCTACTTCAACAAACCACCTTAGATCTTCATATTTTTTGGCTTACAACTCTTCATATAATCATGCTGCATCAGCTTTATTATAACTTGCTGATGGTTTATTCTGCTAAATTTCCGCATAGAGGTCTTTTGTATAAACTGGCTGAAGGGAGTACTTTTTTTTTAGAATCCATCTAATTATTGTTGCACCAAAATTACATTCCTTTACATAAAACTCAATGTCTTTCTTTATCTCATTTGTAAATGTTCTTAGCTTTTCAAACTGCAGCACCTCAGAATACATTTCATGGTTATGTTTGTTTACAAACATTGTAACAAAGATGAGTGAATTTGGATTATTTTTTGAAGGTCTTGAGAGATTGATATGCCATTTACAACCTTGTCTTATCATTCGTTCTGGCTTTTCAGGATTCACTTGTTGATAACTACCTAAATTCTGACAATAAATCATCTTTTTTCACATTACTTTCTCATCTTCATTAGTTTGAACTACCGTACTTCATCCCAGTACTACCTTGAAACCCATATATTCTGCATAGTTTCATATATGCTTCTCTGCATGATCAAAATTATCAAATGTTTGGCCTTTTTTTAGTGTGATGAATCCATCATTTTCAAATGATGTTTCATCGTCTTCAGTCAAGGCCTCATTATCCACATTGCCATGATACAAATCAATATTACTATCATTATCTGTGACTTCATTAGATAGGTTTATTGAAATTCTTTCATTATTTTTATCTTCCATGGTTAATATAAGCATGCGTGTTAATAAATGACCAAAAGAAGGGACATATAAGTGTGTTAGTATTTAGTCAGCGACCAAAAGAAGGGATTATAAATGCACATATTAGTATATTATTAAATGACAAAGTGAAGGTGCATGTATTAGTACGTTGGTAAACAACAAAGAGAAAAGGGTATGTAAGTATGCATGTGAAAAGAGAAAAAAATATATAACTTATATTATTTATGTAAGGATGGGATATCATTATGATGTAAACAAACATCTGGGTTTAAATTCAAAACCATAATATGACTATAGAAGAACAAAGAATTCTGGTCTCGAATTTAAACCCAGCTTTTGTTTACTTCATAGTGATCATAGAACAAAGAATTCTGGCCTAACAATAGCAACTATAGATATATATTATTTATATTGTGTAACAGGTGCAATGTATTGCCTGGTGCAATAAATTATAAATTCCTTTTTTTGATTTCTAATGATTATTTTCAATTTTTTTTTATATCTTTTTTTAAATTTTTTTTTTTTATATCTTTTTTTTTTTTAATATCTTTCTTTCTTTTTTTTTATATTTTTATTTTTTTATTTTTTTTTATTTTTTTTTAAAATATGTTGGCAGTGTGAGTATTGTAATTGAGAAATTTTGAAATTATTCACATTAGTACAACATATTTCACAAAGTCATTCTTATCTTTAAGATTTTACAAATAATATAGTTTCTATAGAATATTTAGATAATGATAATATTTGAAATCTTCCAGAATATAGTTCTAGTAATTCTGCTACAAAATATGAGATAAATGGTTATATATTTTTAATTATTATAAAGTATTATATAATGATAATATTTTATATAGAGCAAAAATATATCAATTTCATCTGAATTAACTCCAAGTGAACCTTCTTATATGAAAATGAAACATCTTTCAATTGATGATATGATTGAAGATGAAGTATCTCAAAATATGTCTAATAAAAATGATCTTGAAGAATACAGAGATACTTTGTCAAATAATGTTATTGATGAGTTGTTGAAATTGACTTTAAAGATTTTGAAAGAGCTTTATTTGATAATGCTTTTGATAACTTGTACTACTTACAAAATATTAAATGGTCTAACAATGCTTATCATGAATTTATAAAAATAGTTAATAAGTATCAACTTTTAAATTCAGCTGGTAATACTTTTATAATCTTCTTCAATAAATTCACCAATTTGAATACTTCTCTGTTTCCATTATCAACAAAGACCAGAAAGGAATTTCTTGATAAATCTACTTTACCTTATATGATGTTCAAAGAAATTTCTATAAAAAAGTTTGAAAACATTGAATATATTTTTTACTATCGATCATTAATTAAGACTATAAAGTCTTTAATAATAATAATAGTATTAATTAGTTATTAGTTCTTGAACATAAAGATAAAAGAGAAATAAGGAATAATGTAGAGTATAGAATCTTTAGAAAACAATATTATAGTAATTGGTAGAAGCAAAAAGAAACAGAATTACTTCTTGAGCAATGTTTATTATTGCTTATCCTTTATTCAGATGCAACAACTCTGGATTACATGAGAAAATCTTCTGAGCACCCTTTGTTTTTATCACTTGAAAATATTTCCAATCATCAAAGAAACAAATTGGAATCTAAAGCATTAATTGGGTACCTTCCAATCTTAAAAGCTAAGGATTCTAAAATAAAAAAGTCTGATAGATTCTGTAAAGTACAAAGAGAAATTTTTCAAAAATGTATATCAATTCTTTTCAAGCCTATTGTTGAAGAACTAGAGCTTTATTTTGTAATATATAAAAATATAATTACTTTTATTCTACATATATCAATAATTATTACAGACATGGCTGAAGCTGATAAGTTTGTCAACATTTATCAGCCAGCTTTCTCAAGATGACTATATGGAAAATACTTAGTATCAAAAGATAACTTGAATAATACTAATTTAATGAAAATAATTTCAAGAATTTCAGTTTCTATAATTCAAGTAATAGATAGTGGAGATGATCAGTATTATTTAATTCATCCTGAAAAAAATGCATTTTTTTTTTTTTTTTTTTTTTTTTTTTTTATTTATATAATATCAAGTAGAAAAATATAATAATACATGGGTATATCAATTGGATATAAATGTATAAGTAAAAATTATTCCTAAGCTACACTATTGTTGCTATATATTAACAACATCTAGTGTGATATTATCCTTTGGTTATCTGTATTAGTTAAATCAACT